GAGGCCAGAAATGCCAGAGAAGTGCATGTGTTATCCCGTCACAATCATACCACGGGATCAAGCTTTTAGCTACTCCACACGTTTGGTTGATTTTATCTGATCACATGACTGATTGAGCACATGACTCCATCAAGACAAAGCCTGTACTTTTATGTTTAGTCTACAATACTCACATACATTCCACACTTGGCATTAACGTAGTTTGAATTATGAATGCTTTTTGAAATTCAGAAGAAACAACACACTGGTAAAGCTCCCGGAATTGTAACAAACTCAAAACAGAGTTATCAACAACAAAACAACAAGTGCTTCAGGTGGACGATCACTCAGAAAACNTGTCCGAGGCCTGCTCCGAGGCAGTAAATCTTGTTTCTTCACTAGAGGTGACCTCTACATAATCTTACCACTTGAAACATCACTAGCCCTGAAGCTGCTGGTAGACATCGTGGTTGGAATTATCAAAGGTTTTTGACACCTGAGAGACACCGTAGCAACTCCTTTGTGTTTGGAAGCGGGGGGGTGGGGGTGGGGGGAGGACGATTCAACCACTCAACCTGTAGATGTCGCTGAAAACAACAAATCCTGCACACTGTGCCTTTAAGCGTATACCGGTATGTACATTCAATTCAATAATACCTTGATGCCAGAGGGAAAGTAGGTGTTGTAACTCATTTAACTAAAGACTTATATAAATAATGTGTTTGTGTTATATTTCTCTAACAGAAACCTACAGATATTTACATTTATAATATTATTTTACACTCTGTAGGTCTAAATATCAAAAGGACAAATCAGCTGTAATATTTAACAGGGTTCCCACACCTTGGTCAACATTAAATTCAAGGACCTTTCAAGGACTTTCCAGTACCAATTTCCTCAAATTAATGAACCGCGTGCAACAATTACCTACTGCTACCGCAGAATGTTACCAATGAAACAATAAAAACCAATATCCACCAATAAACAGGTTTAATATCATGTAAATTCAATGAAAAACTGAACAATATAGAAGTTGTTGAGTCATAAACAATGACGTCAGTTTACCGTAATCCTGAGATATCGTCCGCAACAAATGTAAGTTTTTTTAAATTTTAATTTTTTTTTAAAAGATGATGAAAATCAGTCGTGTGAACAGAGAATTTCAATCCCCCCAAAAAACGTTCAAGGACAAGTGTAATTTTTGGCTGTTTTCACAAGCTTTCCAGGGCCTTGAAATATTTTTTTCAAATTCACAAACTTTCAACGATTTCAAGGACCCGTGGGAACCCTGCTTTAATTATTTGTGTTAAATTGTAGCATGATTCAGCAGAACGCTACACTCTATGCTAAAAGGTAAAAATCGTCTAACCAGTTCAATAAATAACTGATTTAATCTGCTTTAGAAGATTATTATTTATGTTAAACTGTTACATTATGTTCTGCTCAGATCACATTGAGCTAAATAAAAATGAAATCTGCTGACTTATGTTGTGAAATGAGACTTTTTCCTGCTTCTCTTCTGTTAGTAAAATACATAACATACAATTTTCTGGCATTATTTGATTATTTGTTTTGTTGGTTACAATAATACATTACTGTTTGGTCTGAATCCTAATTTTATGTAAATTTGAGTAATTTTTTATGTTAATATAAAGAGTAAACCTCAAATATTATTTGTATGTTAAGATTTCCAAGTTGGAAAGAAACAAAAAAAACTTTTATAGCTCACAGGGAACAATTCTAAAATTTTAAAGGCATTTTTCCTCAAAATCAGTTTTTTGTTGCTACTGCTCAAAAAAAAAAAAAATTTTTTTTTCAAAAATATTTTTTTAGGATTATATTTCAGGCAGTTCATTCAAATGATACATTGATTAGGGCTGCCACAAACGATTATTTTTATAATTGATTAATCACAGATTATTTTTTCGATTAGTCGACTAATCAAATCATACGTTAACTGAATATAAAACATACAGCTTATCTCGCCAGAATGCAGCTGCTATTATATAACCATGGTTAGAGTTTAGCTATATGCTAACTAAAAATAATTGCTGTGGAAGGTAAGTTCTGCTCTGCAGATATTACACAGGTTTCTCTTTCATTTTCTTAAAATGATCCCACACTTTGAGCTCTGTTGTCAGGTAGCCATGATACCAGAGCCTGTCTGTATAATGTCTTGTGACGTCCACGGCCTACCCCAGTTACCACTACTGT